GTTAAAAACTTAAAGTAAAAACACATGTTAATTTATACATTTATTAATTGAATTTAAATTAAAACTACTCAAAATAAAATTTTGTATCTGTTATTTAAAATATACGTAACATTAAATAAACAGGTGTCTGACCAATAAGTGCCGCATTGGGAATAAGTGCCCGCATTGAAAAAAAATAAGAGGGATAAAATAAAAAAAAATGTGATAAATAATAAAAAAAAAGTTTTTTACTTAAAATAGTACAATAAGCGAGTTCATTTATTAATTATAACATAAACGTATGTTCTACAATAATTTCACAGTTAGTTTGATTAAATTACGCTTCTGATACGTTTAAGTTATCTAAAAATAGGCAAAAAATTAACGAATTTTAGTGTCTACCTATCCTTGAATTTTAAAAAAAAAATATATTTTCTATAAAGGGGGGTTCTTTAAAAAAATCAATGCGGGCACTTATTCCCAATGCGGGTATTTATTGGTCAGACACCAATAAACATAAAATAAACTATAAATAAAATAACATACGCAATAAGTTAATATTTTTAGAGAGAAGGATGAAACTGATGCTTTTATAATAAATTATCAACATTTGGCGACAATTTTGTAAGGGTTAATCTTAAATCTCCTAGGCTAATGATGTCCAGTCTGTTTCTTTTTTTCGTTAGGAGATTAGTAACAGCGCTGAACCCCCTTTCCACTAAGTATGACGATGGAAAGGAAATTAAAAATTTCCTCGCTATATTCCATAATACGGGATAAGTAACGGGTATGTTGTTTTGCAGTCAGAATTGCTGATATCCGTTTTTAAACTGAACCTTAAGTTCTTCGTTTGTACTTAGTTCAGTCAGTTCCTCTTGTATTATGACATTCGTTTCTTCTATGTCACCATATGGATTAATTATCCACGGTGGTATTACCATAGTCAAAATATCCTCAAACCTAGATTCAAAATCTGAATAGAGGGCATTTAAATGTTGAACGTAAGTTGAAACGTCGTCTTCCTGGCAGCTTGTCTGTGACAAATTGGGGAACTGATAAAATTCGCCCCGTCCAATATTTTGCTTCATTAGTTTAACTCTGGCAAGAAACGCTGATAAGATGGACTTTGTTTTAATCAAATTTAAACTGTCGCCTTGTAATTGCAAATTAACCATATTAAATTTTGTAAACAAATAGTCTCAAAAAGTGCAAAAAATCTTGTCAAAAATAAGCCTTTCGACAGACAGGAGTAATTGATGAAAGTGTTCGTCATTTTCTTCACACAACTGCGCAAATAACCGCGTATTCAACGCGTTGCTTCGGATTCGGTTTATTGCATCAATGACTAAATGAAGTGATTCATGCAATTTAACACTCAAATTTTTAGCAACTAAGTGTTGTCGATGGATGACGCAATGTATTGCTAACACCCTTGACACATTTTGTTTTAAATAGCTTATAAATCCACGATAACGTCCAACCATGGCAAGTGATCCGTCTATAGCTACTGATATTATATTTGATAAAGGAATTGCTTTTTCAATGAAGTAATCCTTCAAAACATGAAATATTTATTCACGTTTAGTGACGGTTATCAAAGTTCTTGCGAAGAGCAGTTCTTCGTAGATTTCTTGATACATAATAAAACAAACATATGCCAATAATAATGCTGCATTATCAGGTAAAGTTGACTCGTCCAGTTGTATAGAGAAATGGGTCGTTTGCAAATAATTACATAAGAAGCTTTCAATATCAGAACTCATTTCATCAATACGTCTTTCAACAGTGTTGTTGCTTAAGGGAATTCTTTTAATGATATCAGATGCAGGTTTGTGTAAAACAGTTTTTAAAACCTCTTCAACGGCTGGCAAAATTAACTTCTCTCCGATAGTAGGTATGCGGTTTTCCGGATTTTGCTATAAGTAACGAGATATTGTAAGACGCCCGCAAACCATCATCATTTCTTTGTGACGTCGAAGCGAACATTCCGTCCAGTGTAGGTCTCTTCTGAAATTTATCTTTGAGTATTTGAAAGTATTTCAAATCTTTCTCTGTTTTATCAGGGTGGCATCTTCTCAGATGATCTTGCAGTTTAGATGGTTTCATAGCGTCATTGCCCAAAACTTTGTTGCATAGAAGGCACACAGGCGATTATTTGTTCGGCAATGATGGAATGAAGCCAAATTTCAAATAATCAACACTGTACTGTCTACATTTCTTTTTAGATTCGGACATGGCATCAGTCATCTGTGGGCAAAATTAAATTATTTAAATAAGACAGAAAATCGAGCAGCTGTATATTAAACATATTTTTTAATTTTTCCGAAAACATTCCATAATTCGAACATCTTCTTGCAACAATTAGTTCGAATTACGGAGATTGCACTGTAATTATATTACCGATTGCTAAAACTATCAAATAGAAACTATTGAGGAGTACTCGTGTAATTTTGCATGTTTGAATATTTAACTACTAATAACTAAAGTAATGATTGGCGTAATTTATCTATCTTTGCTAACTACGAGTACAAAACTAAAATTTAATAAAAAATAATGTACTTACTTTTCTCCAGCACTCTCAAACAAAATAACACTGACTTACTATGATTTGTGTGATATACTATCTGTTTATATTTTTTAAAATATTTTCTTAGCACTTTCCTTTTCAAGATTCAAGAAATGAATAAACGTATTTGTCCCACATTCGTATTTATAGAGTGACGAATTGAACAAGTCAGTGCAAGGTAGCGAAGCTCTGAGACTGCGACTCTCAGGTTTTTACAAAATGTATTGCGACCACAAACCGAATACCAACATCCTACAACTTACACAATTTTATAAACATATATAATAAATTTTTTACTTCATAGGTACTTTTATAAATAGTGTATATGTCTTGATATTATAAGATAGTATGATGTAAGTAAATAGGTACTATCAGTGTATGTGTTGAGATCCACTATCGTGGACCCCCATATTCATTTCATGGACCCCCAACTTTTTTTTCGCTGACGTAGACCCCTTGCAGGTTGTCATAGACCCCAAGGGGTCGATATAGACCACTTTGGGAATCAATGTTCTAGACCAAAACGATCAAAATTCCCTCGAATAGCTTAACATGATGGCAGGACAGGGATACATATCCGCCATTAATGACGTAACAAGAGTTGACGGAGATAGTACGAGTTGTACAAACCATACCTAAATGTTCATAAATACCTCCATAAATAGTGAGAACTTCTTCACAGCGGTTTTGAGATATACAATTTCGGATCACTTCCCCACCATGCTGAGGATTCAATATGAAGACACAGTTTCTAAATTAAAAAGAGCACAGTCTAGAAAAAAAGAATTCTTAAAAAACGCTTTTCAGATTTTATAGCAAAATACAACCTCATATCTGAAGAACAATATGGATTCCAGGAAGCAAAATCAACACAAGATGCACTTATTCAGTTAACAACTAAAATGTGTACGTTGATAATAATAAGTCCACAGCAAAGATTGGACTTATTTAAAATACAAAATTGTATTAGATTTTCAAAACGTTAAAATTTTTTTCTTCAAATTAAAACGTTCAATAACTACAGAAACATACAATCGGTTGATAATTTCAAATACCTAGGGGTATTCATACCTGTAGATAACCATCTAAGATGGAATGAACATTTTGAAAATTTAGTAAGAAAATTAAGATACCTTATTCCGAAAGTCAAATATTTCAGCAGTTTTTAAGCGAAAAATATCTACACATGATATATCATGCCCTTGTTCAATCATTACTATCATACGGAATCTTAGCATGGGGGGTAGTCATGAATAATTATTATAAAGAGATTGAAATTACGCAGAAGTGGATTTTGAAAGTTATGTTGAACAAAAAGAAATGTTATCTCTCAGAAAATCTTTACAATGAATCTCAGCTTTTCGACTGGCTGCAAATATATTTAACAAAAAATACAAAAATTTTACTTTCTTTCAGCCACAACCATCAAACGCGACTCAAGGAAACCTCTGCACTAATTCCTAGACTAAATAAAACTATCAGCCAAAGATCATTCTATTTTCTATGCTCAAAATTTTATAATGTTATTCCTGAAAAATGTAAACATATAAAATGTAAAAAACGTGTAAAAATTTAATAAAAATTATGGCTCCTAAATCAACCAAGGCTACAAATTCATAAGTTTACCTATATGTTATTTGATAATAAAATGATGCAAATTTATACATTTGACTAGTATAGTTATAGAAAATTTGTTGTATTAATATAATTCAACTTCGCTTATAATCCAAGCACAAGTGTACACTTTTTTGGGTATATTATGTTTATTGGACATTGCTGATATTATTTATACGAAAACTTTGTAATTGGACCAATAAACATTATTATTATTATTATACGTGTTGGGCTTTAAGATTCCAAAAGATGCACTCTTAATTTCATTGCAAATTCAATTTATTTGTGGTTTCCAGCATCATTTGCTCTCAACATGAGTTCCTAAGAAGATCGTTTGATCTGAGTAATTAGCAACATTCTTGTGTGGTTTCTTGTTGAAATAACAAACTTGTAGAGTTGTGTCTTTATTCAAGATGCGCTTGTAAGTTATTCTATTCTCTTGAAATACTTCACTTCACTATGTTTTGCGGTATCTTATGAGAAACTTTTCATTAACTATTAAAATATTGGACCTTCTCCTCTTTACTTTTCTCCCTTACTTTGCTATTTGGTCAACCAAACCTCACAGACCTACTGACAGATAAATGACGAATAGAAGAAGCAAAATCGACAGGCAATTAAAGTTTGAATCAGTTCTGTTTCAAAAGTATTTCCAAGCACGTTTTTCTGAAACACAAGCGCTAGAAGAGAGTTATTTACACCATCAAAAAACCGACAAAACTATAACTATTGTACTATTGTATGTTGTGTAAAAAGCACGTATTTCATTTTGTTAAATCAATCCACCCTGTTGTCATAGTTACACGAATATGACAACCACCAGGGGGGTGCAACCAATAAACAAAGATCAACTTTACTCTTAAGTACACAGATTTGGGCATGAGTATTATTAGTTTATGAATGAATACAATATAATGTGACCTGTACCCTACTTTGAGTGACATGTGTGACAACCACCGCTGACAAGAACTCTGACAACAATCGTGGTATTTTCAAAAAAAGAATTCGTGTGTGTAGAATTGTAAAATATGTCTGGCGAGGAAAGTCTTATTCCGTATGATTTTGACTTGGAAGGGTATTCATTTGCAGAAGATGTTGAAGAAGAAGAAAGTGAAAAACCGTTCTCCTATTTTGATCTTTTAGATGCCCCCCGTTATTTACCAGAACCTGTTGACTTAACATTAGATCACTTGAAGGTATGTTCCAATAATTTATCCATCTCATACAACTTAAGTTTTCCTGTACCTACCGATCGATGGACTGATGTTGAATAAAGCATATGTTGTCTGAGAGGTACTTGACGAACATTCTCTTTATCTTAAACGCTCTATACGTTAGGCACAGCATAGATCTAAATATATAAAAAACAACTATTTATTGTTTTCCAAAATAATTACCATCATATTGTACACTTCATGCTTTCCACCGTATGCAAGAACCAATCGCGACCGCAAGTCAGATACATCTAGCAGGGGGAGACGAGATTCAGTTCTAGCAAGGAAATTTTACACCAAGATTGATACAGCAATTTTTTGGGAAAAAATGGCAGACTTCTGATTGCCGGAGTCAAAATGGGGCTTGAATAAGTAACCTTTTGAAGGTGAAGTTCAAAGTCATATCCAAGGCTACCATTGAGTTCCTTGTTCAGAGTTTGTAAGGACCTGCCTTTGACCCTTGATATTCCATACAATAGAAAACATAGGCCTTATGAATAAAAAATGAATGTCGACAGATTTTGATTGGATAAATTTGTATACTTTTTGCAGGATATCGCGTATGAACTGGGGTTGATAAAACTATGCTGGCCAGAGATAATCGACCCCTACTTTGAGGAACGTACGTCATTTCCAAAAAGTTACGTCGAAAACAGCGACAAAGAAAAAGTTCTTTTGGTGTATACAGAAAATTTCAGGAGGCAGTTTTCTCACAAATACCCAAACAGGAAACCACTATTTTTGGCATGTGAAAACGAATGTGGAATGCAGGTATGTATACATAATTTTCAAGTACGGTTCTTATACGAGATGTTTTTCTCATTTTCTATTACGGCTGACTATAGTGGCGGAACAAGAATCTCTAGAGCCCGGGACATTAAGTTCGTATGACATTTGAAGAGTGGGGGGGGGGGGGGCTGTGGAGCAGTGGCGTGTATAAAACGGGGGCTGAAACGACATTTTCATTGAAGGTTGAGCAAATTGGCCAACTTTTAGGTGAACTATTATTACTACTACTCTGGGACCCCTTAAACCGCGTCGCGGGCCCTCATTGTGTCCTCCCGCCTCCAATAGAAAATTTTGGCAGTCACAAACACCGCATTCGTAAACGTTAAAATAAATTCATTTGACAAATGTTAAATGAGCCTAATAATAGCGTATGAGGTATTTGTGATTGCTAAAGCTCTCTGATATTATTAAGTTATTAAATGACGTAATAATCTTTCCGCCCTATCTTTAAAATGGACCGCGTTATGCACAACTTGATCAAGCGCCTTTTGATAAATTTCCGGATTTTGCTGCCACCTGATGCACAGTAGTTCAACTTACCTATAAAAAAATGCAGGCCGCATAGAGACCTAAGGTTCAAAAGTAAAAACGTTTTAAACTAAGCGCCGAGCGTAATATTTGTTGTTATTCATTTTGCAACACCAACGACCAGATTCTGTGTAGAGTAGGCATTTGCCCTACCAAAGTTTTGCATAAAGTGACCAATATTGAGAAACGACCATCGAATGCTTCGATTCAAGCATTGCTTAGTAAACCCCTCGAAAAACTGTGGCTAAATGAAAAACCTATAGCAGAAAAGAACCTAGACGATTTAAAATCATTTAAGACTTATACCCACGGATTCCAAGAAGTTCTATAGGAATTTAGTTGGCGATTCAAGTATTGAGGAAGAATAATCGAAAATTTCGATTCAGGTTCTTGATTCATTTCGAAAATGTGTGGTGACTTCTTGCTTCATTTTATTTTTGAATAAGTAGGTATATAAATTGAGTTTATTACAACGTTTGTCATTCAAGTAATTTCTTATTTGGTTTCGAGAATGTTTTAGTTTGTGTAGTTTTAATTTTTCAATGAATTTGACGCCAGTTACTAAAATACAAAAATAAGGAATCTTTCTGTAATGCGTTCCCTATTTGGCAAAGCATGACCAAGTAACATCTTTGTGTTGAAAAATGAGCACTCTTTTTGAAAGCAATATTTGATCAAGCCATTTCATTTCATTAAGTTTTAGGTATAAGAGTTTTTGAAAAAATGATTGCATACATAAATTTGTAATATCATTTTCTATTCACAGAACAAAAATCATTCACCACAATCGTAGCAGTTTTTTCATGAATTGTTCAAGTTTATTCATCCTCCTGAAAAACAGAGATTTGCCGATGTAAGGAAAATAACCGTTATCCGACGTTGTATGATGTATACTAAGTGACATATAAATCCGAACACCCAGTTTAAATGGTTTTATTTTAATAAAATTTTGTATAAGTACTTAATGAAGCATAATAAGTAAATGATAAAAATTTCAAAATAATTGCACTGCTTTAAAGCCCTTTGACCTTTAATAATGTGTGGATGCACCCTGATGTGCTACGCATTGTCCAACGCGCCTAGGCATGCTTCTGATCAGGAGGTCAATGTCCTCCTGTGGTATCTCATTCCAGGCTACCACCAACTCCTCTCGAAGTGCTTCTAGAGTCTGAGGAGGACGTTGCAAATTGAGCAATCTCCTACCCATCATATCCCACACGTGCTCAATTGGGGATAAGTCGGGAGATCTTGGTGGCCATGGTAACAATGTGACATCATTATGTTGAAAGAAGTCTATTGTGACTCTTGCAACATGTGGTCGGGCATTATCTTGTTGGAAAGTTGGATCTGCCAGGGTGTCAAGATAGGGTAAAAGATGGGGTTCTAGAATTTCGTGGATATAGCGCTGCGCGTTCATGTTACTCTGATGAAGATTAAAGGTGACCTGGAACCATAAGCTATAGCACCCCCCAAACCATAACTCCAACAGTGTGATGAACATGTCTTTCAACAAAAACTGTGGATTCCTCCTTTCACCACGTCGCCTTCTAACCCTGGCACGACCATCGTGCATGCCTAAACAAAATCGAGACTCGTCACTAAAGACAATACTGTTCCATTCCTGATCCCAGAGTGACCGTTGTCTGCACCACTCAAGGCGATTACGTCGGTGTTCTCGAGTTAAAGGGAGGACCCAGTGTGGCCGGTATGAAAACAAGCCAAAACTTCTCATTCGTCGGTAAACACTTCGCATGCCAATAGGTCCTCCGTGTTCTGCAAACCATTCATTTGCAATGGTACCTGGTAGTGGAGAAACGGTCCCTTAAGGCCAATAATCTCAGGCGGCGATCTTCACGGTCTGTTGTTTTACGGCGGCGTCCAGTGCCCCTTGCTCTTTGCGTATGGCCTTCTCGAAGCCATGCCTGACAACACCTAACCACAGTGCACTCTAATTACAATTGCCCGAAAAGAAAGTCCAGCTTCCCGAAGCCCCACTATACGGCCCCTATCAAACTCACTAAGTTGACGAAATCGTACAGGTCTCCGTACTCTAGGCATCGTAACCGATCATAAAGGATGTCAAGAACCAAAATCCGCCAACGTTGATTCTATACTGCGGCTGAAATATTCATTTTTAGAGCGTTAGTGAATTAAAAAAAAGGCAGTATAAAAACCGGAATGTCCAACTGATAAGGCTGAAAATTTTTTCACTTGTTATTTCCATTAAGATAAATACATTCACCAACTTTTATTAAAATAAAACCAGTTAAACTGGGTGTTCGGATTTATATGTCACTTAGTATATGATCATCAGGTTCTATCGATCTGAATCAAAAATATTTTTCGCCAGAAAATATAGGGAAACACAAATCATTTAAAATTTCAGGGCGGTGAGTATACACCAAGAGAACCAAATCTAAAATGGTATGTTTCTTAAAAGTCATAACATTTCATTCATTTGAGAATGAAGAAATTGCGGACCTGTGTCTTAAAATTATTGATGTCGAGGTTACTTTGATATTCGTCCATCGAACCCCAATCCTGACTTCAGATTCGTGGTCAGTGGAAAAAATATATAAGACAAATATAGTAGGAGCCCCAGCGTACACCAGTTTTTTTTTGGACGTGTGTAGTATATCAAAATTTACATTTACAACATACTGTAAAATGTACTGAAAAATATGTATAACGTTTCAGAAAATGGTTTGCACCACTATCAGACCAACTACACTTCCCTTTCCTGAACTAGAAACCTGGGAAGAATGTGCTAGGTGTGTTGCAGACCTTGTCAGATATGAGCTTTTTGAAGATTACCCTACATTGCTTGTGAGTACTTTACAAAATCTGCTTCATTGCTTCAAAGCTTGTTTCTTACTGTATTTTGCGGTTTCGAAATTCGAACACACACTGTTGTTATATTGGTTGCCTTATCATGTGTCCTACTACTAAAAGGGCCATCTGCCGCAAGACTATATTGATCGGTTAGCGACCTTTTTGGGACTCGTACGTAGCTTGCAATCGTACGGTATAGATGCCGCCATCATAACGGTTTTCGGCGTTGCAACTTAAGCCGAATTTTTCGAGCTTTTATCTTTGATTCCTTCTCTCAGGATTTACTGTGATCCGTCAGTACTTAGCAAGGAATGTGATACTTATTGACGATGTAACTCATGGGTGCACCTGCACCCAAAACTTTTTGAAGAGCTGGGGCTAGCAAATTTTCCCAGGCGGTGAGGGGCAAATCCTAAATATCCTCAAAATTGTACATAAAATCATCCTAAATAATTGTTTATTGATGTATTAGGCTACGCAGAAATCCATTGACGTTGACGGAATCATACTGATACGACTGATGATGGTATAGACTACACAGTAAATACCTGACATAAATCTTTGACTTTATACGTATGTTTTGCCTATTGCCTATCCAAACACCATTTACTACACTGCATAGTTTAGCTTGTCGCTGCCTGCCTAGGCATTTATGTTATTGTTTTGGCGGGGTGTAAGAACGATTTGAATAACACCTCGAACACATCAAGCATGGTTAATGGAAAGGAGAATGAGCATTCTGGTACCATGCTACCATAACCACTAGCAATAAGTGAGATATCGTTTGCTAAGTCTTTTTGAGCGGAAACAATGTTTCTTAAGGTTAAAGTGCGAATTCGTTGTTCGCTTTGAGATAAATGCTGCAGAAGAGTTTCAAGTGTAACCGATACCAAGCTTAAGTTAGAGCAGGTATTTGGAGAACCTGAATAATAATTCGGAAATTTTCGATGGATTTTTTATACTCAATTGTTTCTATTTATCCCTTTTCAATTTCCAGAATGTTTCCCAAGTCACAGAAATGACTCTAGAGTGTGATGTTCTGGCTATTGTAAGGAAAAACATAAGTAATAATGTTTAAAAAGTCTTGTTTTCAAAGTAATATATTATGTTCCCAGTAATGATTATGAATATTATATAGGGTGACTTTGAAGTTGAGTCATTAATTTTCAGATAATGATTGTAGAAGGAAGATAAACCAAAATATGTGTGTAAAAATAAAAAAAAAATGTTACCTTATTTTATAAAGTATCCTCACGACAAGTATTTCAGTGCGGACCTGTATTTGATCGTGCGGTCTTGGAGCACCAACATGCCCTTCCCTGTGAGGTCTTAAGTCACCTGATTCACGAGCCCTTTGTACTACATTAACAAAGGCACGAGGGGTTGGTTGCACTCGATTGGGAAACCGATCCGCATAAATCCGTGATGCCGTGAATCATGTCCACAATTTCACCATTTTCATAAACATGTGCCATTTTTTATTTCGTTTGAGCCACGCAACAACACCACTATTCACTCACGCGTTACCAACTGACACATTGACTAAATACAACTAAAAACATCGTGATAAGCGTTTCAAATTCTTTGGCTTTTTTGTTTCCGATGCGATGAACCGATAAGACGGATTATATCCGTCCGTTGCCAAACACGAGCACATAATATTATTATTGAGACAGGTACTCAAACTTCTAAAGGGCTATAACTTTGTTACTTTAATTTTACCAGAAAAATGTTAAAGGAAAAAAACATTTCTTTTGATGAGATCTACTCACTGTTAAAATAAATGACTCAACTTCGAAGTCACCCTGTATATTTCGATAACCAATAGGCAGATTTAATGAGAGGTGGTCAATAGCAGCGCTCCGTCGAAATATTTAACTCTTGTTGGTTACACTTGAATTAGTCTTTCCAAAAAAGCGCAATTAATCGTTGTACTGTTACTCCTGTATTTTGGAAATATTTCATACACTTTCTTGTATTTTGTGCACATTTTCCACATCTGGGTAACTTTTCGACTAGAAATGTCCGTTTACGTATATCAGAGCGAATTGTTTGAAAAATGGAGCTCACTTCTGAAGTGTAAAGTGACGTAATAAGTGTAGTTTTGATAAAACGGCAGTGTCCAATATACGAAAAACCTGTAGCGTACCTAGGAAAATTCAATAAATCAGGGTTATGGTCTCTAACATATTCACTTCCCCCCTCTTGATGACGGTCTATGTTTGATAAGTACTAAAGATATTGAGCTTATTCAGGTAATAAATGGAAATAGAAGCGTTACAAAAATATAGTCGAAATCACGAAAGATGACGATTACGTCATCATTTTAGTCTGTAGTAAAGACAAACGACAGCGATTTGTGAATATATTTAATGAAGTTTGTGATATGCTAGACAGAGACAAACAGAATTTTATTGTCTAAACAAACTCTATTGCTAATTTTCATGTATCCGACAAAAATAGACGATGTTTTCATGTTGCATGATCGATTATATTTGAAAGATGAATAGTTAGGTTATGTTAAAGCAGGTTATGTTGTTATCGAATAATACTTTGGCCTTTCTTGTTCCTGTCTTAAGGTATTCTACTCATAACTGTTTTTTTCATGACAAAAACTCGCCACTAAAGTTATTATTAAGGTATCACTCAAAACCATGAAATAAAATGAAAATAAAAACAATTAGTTAAATAACCTAACTTCGCAAAATCATAATATAAATTTGTTGTCATTATGTTCCTGACATCGTGATTTTATCATCGACGCACGTCCATTGATTACTTCAGTACAATTTAGGGTATGACGTAATAGTCATCTCTCGTGATTTTGACTATATGTATATAGCGTTTTCTTTGATGAAAAAGGTACGGTTTCCTGCCTACCCAATCTATACGTGCCCGCAAAAGAAATGAAACATTTATTATTATTATTTTATATCCCGTTCTATCGACTGTTAATGAGAAATTTTCTTTTATTTTGTTGACTTCCGTCGAGCCATTATGGCCATTTTCGAGTGCCAAACTAGTCCACGGTACAGAGCAAAAGGACATGAATGAAGTGTAGTAGTGTATACAGGGTGTTTGATTTCAATCTTCTTACCTGAATATTCAGAAAACTGCACAGACAAAAGTTTCAGGGTTTTGAGGGAGTAAAATGATGGTGACCTTGACAATCACCTCGACGATGACTTTCAAAGTCTTCTCCAGGTCATGTTACCAATCACGAATGGAACCTCTCTTTTTCACATCAGCAAGATTAGGAAATCTTACGTCGGATTAGGTCAAATCAAGACATGGGAAACAATAAATTTGTTCTAGCAAAAATGCCCGACAGCACGGTAGTGAGGTTTGTGGAGATCACCACATCAGGAGTTTGACCATCACGTTCAAGGCCAAGTCAAAATTTCGAATGGATACCCCTCATTTTTGTAATAGAAATAGAAAAAACAGGAAATTTAACGTCAGAATATAACCTTGACCTCAAGTAACATTTAACCTTGACACAGCGTTGACTTTGAGGTCAAGGTTGTGTCAGTGTACCCGTAGAAATGGAAGAGTTCTTCGGAAGATTTGATTTGATCTTGAAGTTCGTGTTCAAGGTCATGGTCAAGGTCACACTTGAGTAATCCCCGAAAACTTCACAACTATGCTGAAGAATATTTTTGCAAGAACAAATTGTTCTCAACCGTTTGATTAGACCTTGGATGGCAATGAAATAAACAGTCAAGTTCATGGCGATGATTTTGCTTCGACGTGGAACTTACTCTTCTTTTCAATTCAGAAGTAAGGGAAGGAGTTTTATTCGAAAATTTCTATGTGGCCTTGAAATGACCATAAAGGTCGTGGTCAAGGTCACTGTAAATGTAATCTTCATTTAGCACGCTCTAAACCCTACAAGTTTTGTTTGACAATTCTTGTTCTAGAATGTGTGGTTTCGAGATATTTTCGTGGGGGGATTGAAATGGGACAACCTGTATATACCGGAGTTTTCAAAAGAACGAAGAATATATATCAGTGAAACACTAACAGTTTCACAAAAAAACACTATTAGAAATAAAAATTCTAGCGTGACATACCACATTTTTTCGTGCGAACTCTTAGAATGTGGACCTGCTTTTGCTATGAAGGTTAAGCTTCCGTCAGATGTGAGTCTGTCGTTCACATTTTTTCAACATATACTCGTAGACGGAAAAATGCACGTGAACAATGCATTTCAGATATTAATGACGGTTGCACCGCCGTGCTAAGTATATCAACGACCATTATAGTAACCTTTTTAATTACAAAGCGAAAACTGTGACAGATTTTTATAGAGATACGAGGTCTGTAAATTAAGTGACGAGTCTGATTTTTTATTTTTTTTTATTTTAGCTAAGTTTTTAGCAAATCACTCTGATGCAACAGGAACATATAAAGCTGTGCAACTTAGCATAATAATGCTGTTCCGTCTTATTATCCACATACTTCGATACACTCTGAATAGTTGTATAACACAAGGCGCAACAATTGTTTTGAAAAATATTCCGTGTACGCCAACGGAGCCCTAACAGCACGCGACACTGCTCTATAAAGCCTCGGTTCATTCCATGTAAATAAAATGTTTTCAGTTTCAACAGGTTGTCGCTTTGTAAATACGTCACGAGCTAAACGTTTTTATATAACTTTAAATCGCATTAAAAAGGGAATCCGTTTATCTGTCTCATTCTCTTTTCAACCCGCATCACTCCACCAATTTATCTCTCTGAACAACCAGCGGCGCGTTTTAGGGACACGCTGTTCATTTTGGGTCTGCTTTTTACTTTCCATTCCAATTGGCGAGGAAGTATTGTAATTGCAAAAATTTTCGAAAATGAGATATTATGTTTTCATGTTATGTACAGTACAATAGTCTAATCATATTAGATGAAAATACCACTGGTTTGCGAAACCCCTCACACAGTGAAAGTTCCTAAACCAGGGTCCAACGGCTGGTTCAACAAATCGTGTGACACTGCTCGCCAGCAGAAAATCAAGGCACACAGAACCTACTTACAAAACCCCACTGTAGAGAACAGACAAGCCGACGTCGAGTCCAGAAACAAATATAACGAAGCGGTTCGCAATGCCAAAAACCAGCATGATATAAAAGTTAGGCACAGGGTAATGTCGCAGCGCAATGGCAGTCGGTCTTTCTGGACGCTGGCCAAGCAGATTGAAAAGAACTTCTCACACAGTAGCCTTCCACCACTTACGTGTCAGGATGGAACTATTGTATTCGACTCAAAGGCCAAAGCCGAAGTGCTAGCCAAAATCTTTGCTGCCAACTCCACCATGGACGTCCCCACCAACGCCCAAGTGCCGTCAATTCAAAGGGTTCCCCACACTATGCGGGAGGTAACATTCAGGCATAAGACCGTAAGACGAGTGCTCTTGTCGCTCGACATCAACAAAGCTTCTGGTCCGGACTCGATTCCTGCCATTGTACTGAAGAGATGTGCAGCGGAGCTTGCTCCAGTTCTTTCGCGTCTCTTCCAGATATCTTATGAATCCGGCACCTTCCCTGAAAACTGGAAATTTGCTCATGTACAGCCCATCCCAAAAAAAGGATCTAAAACCGACCCTTACAACTACAGGCCTATAGATCTGCTTTCTGTTATAAGTAAAGTGATGGAGAGGTGCATAAATCGCGAGCTTCTAGACTACCTCGAACGTCACAGCTTGATTAGCGACAGGCAGTACGGTTTCCGGCACCAACGATCCACAGGGGACCTCCTAGCTTACGTCACGCAACTGTGGAGTAAACTCATCCAGTCTCATGGTGAGGCTCATGTCGTTGCTCTTGACATCACGAAAGCGTTCGATCAGCTGTGGCACGCTGCCCTCTTAAGCAAACTTCCATCCTACGGCCTCCCAGAAAAGCTTTGCAGATGGGTGGCTGACTTTATCTCTGGCCGCAAGATATCCGTCGTAATTGATGGATTCTCCTCTTCATCCCACAACGTCAACGCGGGTGTTCCCCAGGGATCTGTCTTGGCTCCAACACTGTTTCTCTTACATATCAACGACCTCCTTTCCTGCACGATCAACCCAATCCACAGCTTCGCTGATGACAGCACTCTACATGCAGGAATTCAGAGTG